CCCCAGAGCGGCACAGACGGGGGTTCAGAGGGAGCCCCCAGAGCGGCACAGACGGGGGTTCAGAGGGAGCCCCCAGAGCAGCACAGATGAGGGTTCAGAGGGAGCCCCCAGAGCGGCACAGATGGGGGTTCAGTGGGAGCCCCCAGAGCGGCACAGACGGGGGTCAGTGGGAGCCCCCAGAGCGGCAGATGGATGCCTGTGAAGGGCCCAGGGTGCACGGGCACCTCACTCAGGAACCACACCCGCCCAGGCCAAGACATATTAACAGCAACAAAAGCAAACTCACAACTCGTTCAGCGGGGCCAGACATGCTGACCAAGGGCGTCTGACTCCCTCCTGGACACCTGGCTCTGCCTTGGTGCAAGCAATGTAGAGAGACCCACCTCTACAACAAATAAGTCAGAGAGCTATTTTTTCTTTATGAAGGAATTCACTAATGAATCTCCTTACTGCATAATTTTCCAGGTTCATTTCAAATATAGCTTTATTTATACAAATTCAAATTTATTTAATATTCAGGAGCACCTGTTTGGGAAAATGAGCAGGCCCTTGGAAGGGAGGCTTTACCCCAGGGTTCAGGGTTAATCAGTAGTTTCTGAACAGTACCCCAAAGGCTTTGGTTTGACAATGTTATTTTATTTTATTTATGTATGTTTTTGAAGACAGGGTCTTGCTCTGTTACCTAGGCTGGAGGCACAGTGGTGCTGATGGAATTCACGGCAACCCCAACTCCGAGGCTCAAGCCATCCTCTTGCCTCAGCCTCCGGTGGAGCTGGGACTATTGCTACTATACTACCACATTGGTCATTAAAAAAAAATAAATTATTTATTTTCGAGACAGAGTCTCATTATGTCACCCTCAGTAGAGTGTCATAGTATCAAAGCTCACAGCAACCCCAAACTCTTGGGCTTAATTGATTCTCTAGCCTCAGCCTCCTAAGAAGCTACAACTATAGTCCCCTGCCTATTTTTTTGTTGTAGCTGTCATTGTTGTTTAGCAGGCCTGGGCAGGGTTTGAACCCGCCAGCCTCGGTATATGTGGCCAGCGCCCTAATCACTGAGTTATGGGTGCCAAGACTAAAATTATTTTTTGTAGAGACAGGATCTTGCTGTGGTCCCCAGGCTGTTCTCAAACTCCCAGCTTCAAGTGATCCTCCTGCCTGAGCCTCCCAAAGTGCTGGGATTACAGGCATGAGCCACTGTACTTGGCCAACATTTTCATATGTATATAAAATTTTCTACTGTTTATAAAGATCTCTGATCCTCACCACAACCCAGTGAGTCAGGATTATCGAGCTCATGTTGCATGTGTAGAAACCGAGGCTGAGAGAAGGCACATGCCGTGTACAAGGCTCACTCTGCTGGGTGCGAGGCTAAGCTCATCCCAATAGCTCTGCAAGGTATAACCATCCCTGAGAACAGATCAGGAAATGGACCGAGAGGCTGAGAAATCTGCTCCGCACTGTAATGTAGAGAGGAAATCTGGCTGAGAGCTAACGGGGAGAAGCAGCCAGGCACCACCTCTGAGGACAGATCACAGAGGCAGAAAAGCCAGGGAGGACTTCACAGGGAGAGGCGGCCGGAAGGAGGCACAGAAGCTTGATGAGAAGAAAAATAGGCGGGCAGTTAGAGAGCAACGTGAGGTTAGGAAGGGGAGCAGTGTGAGGTTAGGAAGGGGAGCAGTGTGAGGTTAGGAAGGGAGCAGAGCCTGAGAGGCGGGAGGTTTGGGGAGCACCGGTCTGGTCCCGCTGGAGATATGTAACACCCTACATACAAGAGCAGCTGGCTAGATGGCTGGCAGCCTGGCTAAAGTGTTTCTTTAAACTGCTAAAAGGTGGATGACATATAATTGGAAGGCATTATTAAAAATACAGGTTGGGCGCAGTGGCTCACGCCTATAATCCCAGCACTTTAGGAGGCAGAGGTGGGAAAATTGCTTGAGCCTGTAAGTTCAAGGTCAGCTTGAGCAATAGCAAGACCTCATCTATGCAAAAAAATAGAGAAAATCAGTCAGGTGTGGTGGCGGGCCCCTGAAGTTCCAGCTACTTCAGAGGCCGAGGCAGGAGGATCATTTGAGCCCATTAGTTGGAGGTTGCATGCAGTAAGATATGATGACACTGCTGCACTCTAGCCTAGAAGACAGAGAGAGTGAGACCTTGTCTCAAAAAACAAAGAACAAAAAATCCAGGTAAAAAATATAGCCTAGGTCAAATTACTCCAGGGGAAATCTTTCAGGAAGAAGCGGCTTCTTCCCTCAATGACAACAGCAGCACAGACAGTATTCCCAGCCAGACAACAGGAAACATAAAAGTCCCTGGCCTTAAAGAGGCGAAGACCCACGAAAGGAACTGGGAGCTAAAGCTGCTGAGCCTGGTTAACTCCAGATGTCCCTGTTCCATCCAAGCTGATAAAACCCATCAGTGTGTGTGGGAAGCCACACACAGTAGCTTCTGCCTGGATGGGTAAAGGAGAATTCAGGACGTACTTTACCCTGAACTCCAGAGGAAAGTTTAAATGATACTTCAGTCAAGCCAAAGGAGACACAGACTAGCACATGGGCACATTCAGGACTAGGCGAGGGTTCACTGGTGGGTCAAGCTGCACTGATGTTAATGAATTAACACCATCAATGAATCCAGTATGAATCTAGAGCAGTACACTGGACTGGGCTGGACGGTAGGACAGAAAAGGCCCATGGCCAGCAAACCAGCTTGCAGAGGCATTATGACCCGGCTTCTGTAGCATGTACTGTTGCTGGGTTTCCTAGTGCTTTAGGGATGAATATTTACTACAGAAAAGTAAATAGGATCTCCCTACCCGCGGTAGTACAAACATGAAAACACTATAATCTTAACAAAAACGGGAAAAAATACTTTTCTGCACTATATTTGTTTTACTTCCAAATTTCACATATATGATTTATTCTCCACTCAACAGAAAGGGCAAAAGAAATAATAAATATTCGTTTAAAAACATTAGAAAGGGTGAATGTTTGTGAAGAGGCCTTGGTGTTTCAGGGGAGCGCGGTGGAGGGCAAGGCTAGGACAAAAGTGTTGGAGGGAGATTTATTTTTCCTTTTGTGTCAACTTTCTTTTTTTTTTTTTTGGAGACAGAGTCACACTACGTCCCCCTGGGTAGAGTGCTGTTGCATCATAGCTCACAGCTACCCCAAACTCTTGGGCTCAAGCTATTCTCCTGCCTCAGCCTCCCAAGTAACTGGGACTACAGGTGCCCACCATAATGCCCGGCTATTTTTTGTTACAGTTGTCACTGTTGCTTAGCTGGCCAGGATGGGTTCAAACCCGCCACCCTGGGTGTAGGTGGCCGGCACTGAGCCCTTTTGTGCTAATTTAACTTTGTGTAATATACAGGTGTTAGCTATTCAAATATATATGCATGCTATAATCACAGCTTGAGTAAATCAGAACCCAGGAAAACTTTTACATTTTAATGAAACTATGTGACAAACAAAAGGTACTGAATAACCAAAAATCAATCATCCCAGGAAAGACTAACATTATAGACTGATTTTTTGGCTGGGGCTGGATTTGAACCTGCCACCTCCAGCATATGGAGCCAGCACCCTACTCCTTTGAGCCATAGGTGTCACCCGACTGATTTTTTAAAAATTTAATTATGAAGGCATTAACATGGTCAGAATAAAAAAAAAAAA